AGTATCTGAACCAACTATGTTTTACGTGTCTATATCAGGAAGAACAAGACTCAAGGTGATGGTAAAGTATCTGAACCAACTATATACTGTTATGAATCAACTACTGAACCAAGCACCCAGAATACTCTGACTCAACTACTAATATTGAATTGCCTATTACTTTACGAAAAGGTGTTCGTTCTTACACAATACATCCCATACAGGATTATGTCTCATATGCCAAATTGTTTTCAAAGTATCATGCTCTTATGTGTAAGTTTGACAACAGCTCCTCAGAACCAAGAACAATTCATGAAACTTTCAAAATTCCTGAGTGGAATGCTGCTATTCAAGAAAAAATTACAGCACTTGAAAAGAATGAGACATGAGAGTTAATTGATCTGCCTTTAGGAAAAACTTCAGTAGAATACAAGTGGATTTTCACTACTAAATACAATCCTAATGGTAGTGTAAATCAGTATAAAGCACGACTTGTTGCTAAAGGTTTCACTCAGTCATATGGAATTGATTATCAAGAGACATTTGCTCCAACTGCCAAGCATAATACTATCCGGGTACTATTCTCATTAGCTTCTAATCTTGATTGGCATCTTTATCAACTAGATGTGAGGAATATTTTTCTCAATGGTGATCTAGAAGAAGAGGTATATATGAAAGTCCCACTTAGACTTGAAATGAATCTACAAAAGGTATGTAAACTAAAAAAGGTACTTTATGGACTCAAACAGTCATCGAGGGTATGGTTTGACAGATTCACCAGGGTAGTGAAGCCTATGGGATATGAACAGTGTCAGTCTGATCACACATTATTTGTCAAGCACTGTATCACAGAAAAGAGAGTTGTACTGATTGTATATATTGATGATATTATCCTGACAGGTGATCATAATGAAGAGATTCAGAAACTAAAAGACTTCCTAGCTAAAGAGTTTGAAATCAAAAATCTTGAAATACTCAAGTATTTTCTTGGAATGGAAATAGCTCAGTCCAAGAAAGGAATTTCTACATCTCAGCGGAAATATGTCTTAAATCTTCTGAACGAGACTGGTATGTTTGGTTGTAAACCCGCAGAAACTCCTATGGAGTCAAATGCTAAACTTAGTTTCAGAAATGATAGTAAATATGTTGATAAAGAAATGTATCAGAGACTTGTAGACAAGCTTATCTACTTGGTTCACACAAGACCTGACATCTGCTTTGCAGTAAGCACTGTGAGTCAGTTCATATTTCAACCTACTGAAGAGCATATGAGCACTATCTATCGAATTTTGAGATACTTAAAGATGACACCTGGACAAATATTATTTTTTCAGAAGACTATGGCCAGAGAAATTGAGATCTTTACTAGTGCAGATTGGGCAGGATCTGTAACTAATAAGAGATCCACATCCGGTTATTACTCATATGTATGGGGTAATTTAGTCACTTGGCATAATAAGAAACAATCTGTTGTATTAAGAAGCAGTGCTGAAACTGAATGGTGCTCACTTGCTCATGGAATATGTGAAGGAGTGTGATTGAAAAAGATATTACTAGAACTACAATTTTCTGCTCCCACTACTATGAGAATTTGGTGTGACAATCAATCGACTATTAACATGGCCAAGAATCCTATGCACCATGACAGAACTAAACATATAGAGATTGACCGACACTTCATCAGAGAGAAAATTGAAAGCCAGGATGTGTAACTACTATACATCCCAAACAGTCAATAAACAACAGACATACTCACAAAAGCACTACCAAAAAGGGAGTTCAATAATCTTGTATCCAATCTACAATTACTCAACATTTATGTAACCTAAATTGAGAGGGAGTGTAGAATGTATATATATATTTACATATATAGATATATAAGGGGTAACTTAGTCTTTTCCAGTTTTTTCTTTTTTTTTTTTTTCAGTTGTTATGACAGCTAGGCATGCCCTCTACCTTAAGAACCAATTTTTCTCCTCTTCCACTTACTTGTTAGAACATTTTGTAATCTCTTTTGTCAAAACTTGTGCCTATATAATAACACTACTTGTGCCCGAGAAAATCAAGGAAAATAGTGAAAGGAATTCTCCTCTTCACTTTTTTCAAATTCTTCTTCCTTCATTTCTTCAATTTCTTGCTCAAAACAGGCCAGCCAAACATTTCTTCGTGTTCTACCCTCGTGCCGAACTTTTTTCGCACGCGACCCGGCCTCCTCCGTTTCACCCGACCCCTGATGACTTGGAACCGCTGAGAAGCAGCTTCGTCTGCGTCTTGTGCATGCACCACCGTACCGGCCGCGATCTAAACTGATCGGAGGACGGTGGTTGACTTCCTCCAGTGTTGGGAATGAGTTGTTCAACCCTTTATGTGATCTAATCTAATCTGACTTCTAAAAACCCTAACCCTATCTCTGATACCATATAAATTTTAGAAAAAAATACTGAATATTTTTTATGTTTTATTGAAATGAAAGTAGGGATATATATACATGTAAATGGAATTATATATGGTAACTAATATAAATTACCCTATTAATTTTTTTCCTAATTAGTTTAATACATTTGGAAACATAATCAACCTATTATGTATATAGATCTTCTATAATATTCTAACAAACAACGTTTACAGAAGCAAGAATCGAAGAGAAATACAAAAAAAAAAAGTCAGTAGAAGGCCATTTATCATCTGCTGTGTAGCCCAGGCACCAAAATGCCAGTAAAACTGGCCAACACAGCTTGCCGTGCATGTGGACGTGTGCATGGTGCTGTCTAGGCACCCAAAAGTGTCAGGACAGGTCCCCTAACACGTTGCGTATGTACAACACGCCTAACGCAGGGGAATAAGGCTCTACCAGGCACCCTGTGCACCAAGAGAGCCCAGTGGCAGACCCTGTGTGTGCCATGCATGCTATGTGCGCCAGGGCACTTGCCCTGGCACCAAACCGTGCCCAAGGCTTATGTCCCATGGGTGTGCTGCTGTGCGCAGCATGCCGTGTGCTGGACAGGCCTGACAAGCCTGCAATGCGCCGAAAGGTCTGGGAGAGTAGCCTGTTTGGCCACGGGTGCAGACTGAGGGAAAATCCCCCATCCGCGGGCTTGAGAGGAGAGTCCCCAAGCATTGGAATTTTTCTGGA